ATTTCATTTATTTTGAGAGAGAGAGTATGTGTGAACAGGGGTGGGGGCAAGAGAGAGAGAGAAAGAGAAGTTTTCAAGCAGGTTCCCTGCTGTCAGCATGGAGCCGGACGTGGGGCTCAGTCTCACAAACTGTGAGATCATGACCTGAGCCAAAATCAAGAGTCAGGTGCTTAACTGACTGAGCCTCTCAGATGCCCCTGATAAGGCATTTTATTTTATTTTATTTTATTTTATTTTATTTTATTTTATTTTATTTTTATTTTTTTAGTATGCTAACTTTTTTTTAAATTTAATTTTTTATTTTTTTAAATTTACATCCAAATTAGTTAGCATATAGTGCAACAATGATTTCAGGAGTAGATTCCTTAGTGCCCCTTTCGCATTTAGCCCATCTCCCCTCCCACAACCCCTCCCGTAACCCTCAGTTTGTTCTCCATATTTGAGTCTCTTATGTTTGGCCCCCTCCCTGTTTTTATATTATTTTTGTTTCCCTTCCCTTATGTTCATCTGTTTTGTCTCTTAAAGTCCTCATGTGAGTGAAGTCATATGATTTTTGTCTTTCTCTGACTGACTGATTTCACTTAGCATAATACACTCCAGTTCCATCCACGTAGTTGCAAATGGCAAGATTTCATTCTTTTTGATTGTCGAGTAATACTGCATTGTATGTATATACACCACATCTTCTTTATCCATTCATCCATCGATGGACATTTGGGCTCTTTCCATACTTTGGCTATTGTGGATAGTGCTTTTATAAACATTGGGGTGCATGTGTCCCTTCGAAACAGCACTCCTGTATCCCTTGGATAAATGCCTAGTAGTGCAATTGCTGGGTTGTAGGGTAGTTCTATTTTTAGTTTTTTGAGGAACCTCTATACTGTTTTCCATTGTGGCTGCACCAGCTTGCATTCCCACCTGATAAGGCATTTTAAAAATAAATGTTGTGATCAGGTACCTGGGTGGCTCAGTCAGTTAAGTGTCCAACTTCAGCTCAGGTCATGATCTTGTGGTTTGTGAGTTCAAGCCCCATGTTGGACTCTGTGCTAATAGCTCAGAGCCTGCCTGCTTCAGATTCTGTGTCTCCTTCTCTCTCTACCCCTCCCAGGCTCATGCTCTGTCTCTTCTCTGTCTCTCAATAATAAATAAATGTTAAAAAAAAATTTTTTTTTAAATTAAGTGTTGTGGGGCTTCTGGCTAGCTCAATTGGAAGAGCACTTGACTCCTGATCTCAGTGTTGTGAGTTCAAGCCCCATGTTGGGTGTGAAGCCTACTTTAAAAAAATTAAAATTGTGGCGCCTGGGTGGCTCGGTCGGTTAAGCGTCTGACTTCGGCTCAGGTCATGATCTCACGGTCCGTGAGTTCGAGCCCTGCGTCGGGCTCTGTGCTGACAGCTCAGAGCCTGGAGCCTGTTTCAGATTCTGTGTCTCCCTCTCTCTCTGCCCCTCCCCTGTTCATGCTCTGTCTCTCTCTGTCTCAAAAATAAATAAATGTTAAAAAAAAAAATTAAAAAAAAAATTAAAATTAAAATTAAATTAAATTAAATTAAATCAAATTAAATTAAATGTTCAGAACATTGGATAGCCATGTGAGGAAAAAGTGACTTATAAATGGCCTTTATTTTCAGATAAATTAAAAAGCTAAATTAGTTTTAAAAAGAAAAAACAATTAAAATTATATTCTTAACCATACGATAGAGATATATTTCTTCTTTTTTTTTTTGTTTTTTTGTTTTTTTGTTTTTTTGTTTTTTTTTTTTAATTTTTTTTTTTCAACGTTCACTCATTTTTGGGACAGAGAGAGACAGAGCATGAACGGGGGAGGGGCAGAGAGAGAGGGAGACACAGAATGGGAAACAGGCTCCAGGCTCTGAGCCATCAGCCCAGAGCCTGATGCGGGGCTCGAACTCCCGGACCGCGAGATCGTGACCTGGCTGAAGTCGGACGCTTAACCGACTGCGCCACCCAGGCGCCCCCGATAGAGATATATTTAGCAATGAGAAGGCACTGTTCATGGCAAAGTTAGGGTGGTCTCTTCTATAAAAATAGAATGTTATGTCTGATAGAAATTGAAGTTTGTGACGACATGGATGGAGCTAGAGAGTATTATACTAAGTGAAATAAGTCAGACAGAGAAAGAAAAATACTGTGTGATCTCACTGCGTGTGGACTCTAAAAAACAAAGCAAATAAACAAAAGGCAACAGAGAAAAGAGAAACAAACTCATAAATACAGAGAACAAACTGGTAGTTGCCAGAGGAGAGGAGGTAGGGGGGATGTGTGAAATAGGTGAAGGGGATTAAGAGGTACAGACTTCTTGTTATAAAGTTACAGGGTTGAAAAGTATAGCATAGTTCCCTAAAAGGAAAAAACAAAAAGAAAAGTACAGCATAGGGAAGAGAGTTAATAATATTGTAATAACTTTGTGTAGTGACACATGCTGACTACACTTCTTGTAGTGAGCATTTCATAACATATAGAATTGTTGAATCACTATGTTATAGACCTGAAAGTAATATTATATGTCAGCTGAGGTGCCTGGCTGGTTGAGCAGGGAGAACATACAACTGGTGATCTCAGGGTTGTGAGTTCAAGCCCCATGTTGGGTGTAGAGATTACTAAAAAATAAAATCTTAAAAAAAAAAAAATGATGTCAACTATGTCAATTAAAAATAGAAAAAAAATGGGGTGTAGGTAAAAAAAAAAATTGAAGAGTGGTAGTGATATAGGAAAAGTATTTGTGATAATAGAGACAGAAAAACTCAATATCCAATTTGACAAAGAATAGACTTTTTCCTGCAACTTGTATAGATGTAAAAGGCAGTTTTCTACAAAGATTCACAGATGATAAACTGTCCCACTTGGAAAAACAATGTTTGTTTTCACTAATTAAGGAAATACAGTGAAAAACAAAACAAAACTATGAGGTTCCATTTTGTACCCATAGAACTAACTAAAATGAACAGTGGTGTTGAGGATATGTGAGTAAGCGGACACACTTGTGGTTTTATTGGTGACAATTTAAATGAATTTCTCCACTTAAGCAGTTGAGAAAGGTTTTGTGTAAGATCTTGTGTAAGGTCTGTGTAAGGTCTTGAGGTTTCAGCAGATGTTAAGTGAGAACTTGCAATGTGCTGGATGTTGGTGATTTGAAGATGAATGAGACAGTACCCAGGCCCCAAAAGCTCTTTTGGTATGGTGGGGTGACGGAAAAGAAAATAAGACATCTCAAGGACCATTTTGCCTTAACTCCTCCTCTTGGGGCTCAGGCTACCTGGCCTGGGTCCTCAAAGCCTACTCTTGTGTGGACACAGGATCCTCCTCGGGGGGTTCACAGTCTAATGGTAAAGATATGACAGGTGTATCTATAACTGGCATATGAAGAAGTAGTAAAGGTGGACTCGGCAGAGGGTGGTTTGGGAATCCTGGGGAGGACAAGTTATTGCTGGCAGGGCTGGGGCCCCAGCACGAGCCACCCTTGCTTTACCCAGCTCCTCTCCAGCCAAAGCCCAGCCTGGCTGCAGAGCTGCTGCTGCTGCTGCTTCTTTTTAATGTTTTATTTATTTTTTGAGAGAGAGACAGAGAGAGACAGAGACAGAGAGAGAATACGAGTGGGGGAGGGGCAGAGAGAGAGAGAGAGATGGGCAGAGGATCCAAAATGGGCTCCATGTTGACAGCAGAGAGCCCAATGCGGGGCTCAAACTCACAAACCGTGAGGTCATAACCTGAGCTAATGTTGGACACTCAACAGACTGAGCCACCCAGGCGCCCTTGCAGAACTTCTTTTTATGAGTACAGGCCACTCAGTGCCGCCCACTTGTCCCCTTGCGTTTTTGCTTGCTCCTGCAACTGAGATCACTGGCTATAGGGGTCTGGTTGGGCTCTGTCCATCCCTTGAGATGCCACATTGATTCTTGGGGCTTAAATGGTGTCTGTTTATCCATAACTGTTTGGTAATGGTGATTTGTTTGGCCAGGCCTGGTGGACATTAGATACTTGTTGACCTGACTGCAACATGGAGTGGGGAGCCACAGGAACACCAACAGTGTGTACTAACCTTGATGATGAGTATGCTAGGGGGAGCCCCATGGATGCTGTAGGTGCCCTTTGGCCACTTTAGCCCTACATGCTCCCCTGAGGGAGCAAAGGCTATTGTGCCTACCTGGCTAGAGTTGCTGAGGCTCATGGGTAGTCAGTATGGGGATGAGGACCAGGAGACAGAGTTCCTTCCTGTATTTTTCTGAACCCCCAGAACCCCTGGGCATAAGTTTCTGGGAAGTGTGACAGGTGCCTGGCTCTTGTGATTTATTTTACACATTTGTTGAAATGATCGCTGAACAAAGCAAAACAGTTGTCTCCTACCAAGAGGCAGAGAATCTCAATCCTTCAGGAGACATGAGCTTGTCATTCATTTTCATGATACTGATTTTGAAGAAACCTCTTTGTCCTTTCTTTCCTGAGTCTGTTTGAATATGTCCAGAGCTAAAGAGCTCACCCCTTTTGTTTCCACACAGTATGACCCATGTTGGACAGGAGTTTTAGACTCAAATCTTCTCCCTCTACTTTTATTCACTGGTCCTGCTTCTGTCATTTGGATATTTCCTGGGAGCCCTTCATTGTCTGCTGTTTGTATAAGGATGAGGTGCGAGGTTCTTTGAGGGGATCGACTGGAGCTGAGATTAGTAGGTGAGGAGAGTGTCTAGGTGTCCATAATCTGGGCCGTTGTCTTGTCTTTGGCTCCCTGAGTGGTTCACCCTTTCTAGGCCCCCAGTATCTCCAAGGGCCCTGGGAAGAGCAGCTGATTGAGGGTAGCTTACTCAGGCTCCTGCTTGCCATGTTTAGGTGAGGAGGTCAGCACTACATTTCCCCAAAGCCATAATTTGTTGTTAGTAGTAGGGTGACAGGCCAAGTGACCCCCATTAGGTTTGTGATGAAGGTCCCTCCCCTGTACCCATTACCTACATGACCAGCACTGACAAATGCCCTCTGATTCCTCTGCAGGAGCTGATTGATCTCAAGATGCTTCAGTGCAAGAGAGTTGTTAATGGTGAGTGCAGTTCTGGTCCCAGGATTGTGCATGTGCCTGGTCAGGGCCATGCAGCACTACCACTGCCCTTGCCTGCGGTGACGGTGTCCTTCCAGTGTGCTCCTTGTCTGGCTGTGTAATTTTGTGGATCATGTGCTCCCTTGAAAAGAGTCACTACTCTCCAGAGACTGTGACAAAGAGCCAGATGTGGAACAGGCTGAGATAACCTTCCATCACAGGCTTGCTGGCATAGAAATTGACATAGAAAAGCCTTGGGCTTGGGATGGCTTCAGCATTGTTCCTGGCTCTGCCACCCGATAGCTGTGTGACTTTGGGCAAGTCATATGACCTCTCTGCCTCCATTTCTTCAGCTGTAAAATTGAAATCAAAATCCCTGCTTTACTTAAATCATAGGGTTGGAGTGAGAATCAAATAAGATAAGGTACATGTTAAGTACTTTGCAGATAGAAGTGGTTGTGCTAAATTGTGGTTTTGCTGGTGCTTTATTGATGAGGCTGATTCTGTTTTGATTAGAACTGTGGTATTGTTTGAGGTTTTCGAAATGTACGCACGTTTGTGAAACCTTAATATCAGTTTGCCAGAAGTTATGACTCAATTTTGTCTTTAATTGTTTTAGATTTATAGTTTTTTTTGTTATGAAAAATTTATTACTATAGACCTGTATAACCTAGAAAATGAAAATCCCCCATTATCTCCTATTTGAAGAAGTAATCACAGAGAGGAATAATGTATATTTTTTATACATTTAGTAAAGCGTGTATATAAAAATAGAACATGTTGGGGCGCCTGGGTGGCGGAGTCGGTTAAGTGTCCGACTTCAGCCAGGTCACGATCTCGCGGTCGGTGAGTTCGAGCCCCGCGTCAGGCTCTGGGCTGATGGCTTGGAGCCTGGAGCCTGTTTCCGATTCTGTGTCTCCCTCTCTCTCTGCCCCTCCCCCGTTCATGCTCTGTCTCTCTCTGTCCCAAAAATAAATAAAAAACATTGAAAAAAAAATTAAAAAAAAAATAGAACATGTTTATATTTACACCCTTTCTTAGGATCAGGCTGTGCATATTTTGCCTCTTACTTTTTTGCTAGGACATTTTCCCATGTTAGTACCTACAGATAACTATATCAGAATTGATTTCATCCGTGCTTTAACAGGGGTTTCCAGTATTTTGCTGTTCTAATAAAGCTATAGTATAAACACACTGAGTTTTTGTGGTTCTTCTCCCAGTCTTCCTACTGCCAGTCATGAGCCTGTACTGTGGGAATTCTTTTCAATTACCGCTCCCAACGTGTCACCACCTCTATCCTACATTTTTAACCTTCTAATCTGTTTAGTGCTGGGGTGATAATAACTGGTTCCATTTGTGGAAGTGCTTGACGTGTATTAAAGATCTCTTTTATTTCTTAAAATAAATGTACAAGGTAGGCGTATTCTCTCATCTGCTACGTTGGATCTCTTTCATGTGGCAGTCATCTTTGAAAGCTAATAATGGTAGTACCTACCGTAGAGCTCTATTTTGAAGGAGCATATGAAATTCTTGTTATTTGCAATAGTTATGTTCTATAAAGTTGCTTTGAAATCCAAACTAGCAAATACTGAACCATTGTTCTTGAGGGAAATACAGGATTAGATTCCTGCGAGCCTCTGGTCACAACATTTTCACCAACAGATCGATACATAGCCTTGTTTTACGTGTGTTTCTACTCCAGCATTGAACTCACAGCCAGCAGCACTACAACTTCATGTTAGAACAAATGTTGTTTGATATGCATTTTCTCCAGAAGGCACTTCACATCCTTCTTGTGCTTAGGAACACTAGATAGCACTTCAGCACTGTGCTTGGGACCATTTTAAATGGTGGGAGCAACAAAAGGCACATAAATGTGGCATTAAATATACCACCATAAGGACATTTATTTACAGAATGACAGCTGAAACAAGAAGGTAGAGTATTGCCTTGTTTGATCTCAGCTGGGAAGACACGCATCAGGTGACCTAATATTTTTTGGTAGTTCTACATATTGATTTTGGGGTTATAGATACATTTTAGCAAGCCAGCAAATCTGCAAGTACATAAGTCCACATAATGAGAGTTGACTGTAATTTAATAAATCTCCACTCATAGTACTTAGCACATGATAAATAAGTAAGAACAACTAAGGGGCGCCTAGGTGGCTCAGTCGGTTAAGTGACTGACTTTGGCTCAGGTCATGATCTCACGGTTTGTGGAGTTCGAGCCCTGCATTGGGCTCTTAACTGACAGCTTAGAGCCTGGAGCCTGCTTCGGATTCTGTGCAACCCCCTTTTTCTCTCTGCCCCTCCTCTACTTGCACTCTGTCTCTCACTCCCTTTCTCTAAAAAGTAAACATTAAAAACAAACAAACAAACAAACAAACAAAAAGCAAGGGCAACTTTATTGAACTTCAGAGTGACAGCTGGGAAAATATGGGCCAAATCTGAAACATAGACAAGGTTTCTTGTATGTACATTTTTTTCCAGTGTTTTAAAAATTGTGAAATGTAAACACTACACCAAGATAGTGCATAAAACACAAGCATGCAGTATAACAAATAGCTGTAAAGCAATCAACCATGTAACTAACCATCACCTAAGTCAGGGAAGGGACCATCATCAGCACCTCAGAAGCCTCCATGTGTACACTGATTTCTTTTAAGAATTGTGTGTACTTCCAGTATCCCTTTTTCCCCTTCAAAGTGATACTTTTGCTGTGTTTTCTTCCAGGGAATAGGCTAGGTTGAACTTGCTTCCTCATTGGGTGGCCCCATGTGTTTGTGTTTTCTTGCAGAGGTGCTGAGCACAGTGGACTTTGTTGCTCCTGATGACCGAGTAGTCTTCCGCACCTGCAAAAGAGAACAGAGCAGGGTTGTCTTCCAGATGGTATGAGATCCCAGGGCTGAGCGCCCTCCCAAGGCTCACCCATCTTTAAACGCCTGGGCTCTGTTGCATAGTTGTGGTTTCCTAAGACTCTGCTTTAATGTTTTTCAAAGATTTGTTCTCGAGCAATTACACTGGTAGAGACAATTTAAGGAAATCAGGCCATAGTTCTCTGTTACATGCCTCCAGTGTCAAGTTTAATTTCCTTAGTTGTAGGAATTATTTGTTTGGCATGACTTAAATATTTTTACCCCCTACAATTGGTTATTTAGTTCATGTTCTTTGTTTTTGTATAGTCTGTATATATTTCCCATAGAAAGAAAATTAGGTTTCCTCAAGAGTAGTTTGTTTATGTTAGGGTTATAATGACTCCTAGTGCTCTTCTCTCACTTTGGGCATTTTTGGTGACTTTTCAGAAATAGGTTTTGAATGATGTTTAAATTTTTTAAAAAATGCTAAGAATAATGGGTAGACATGATAAAGCAAATATAGCAAAATGTTAATTGTAGAATGTAAGTAGTGAGTATATGAATGTTCACTATAAAATTTTGTTAACTTTTTTATATGTTTGAAAGTAATCACAGCTTTGAGGACATTTTTTAGCCCTTTTAAGTCCAATTTTTACCTCCGACAGTGACCCAGTCCAGTGGGCAGGCTGGCTGTTTAAGAGAATGCCAGCAGATTCTATTTGTGGCTGCGTGTGCACGCATGCGCATGTATGGCATGCACAGATGTGTTTGTGCATGTGTTTCTGTGTCAGGGATGGTGGTTGATGCAGCCTCTTGTGTTCCCAGGGGACTTCAGATGCAGAGCGAGCCCTTGCTGTGGCCAGACTTGTGTAAGTTCTCCGTTTGGGATTGCCTTGCCTCTCCTGTGAAGCTTTACTATTCCTGGTGACTTTGGAGGTGACCACCTTCCTGACTCTTAACTTACTACCTTCTCTTTCCAGGTGAAGAATGTCTGTTTTCTTTTTCTTTGTTTGTGGCATTCAAGGGCGAACCTGGGACTCACATGTACCCACTGTGCCCAGATCTCAGATAACCTCTGCTTGGGTGACTATTTTTTAGGGGTTATTCATGGATTTCCAGGGATTCTTACGATTATGAGCCCTAAGGTTTTAAATCTCATGTAATGTAGGTAAGGCTCATTGCTGCCTAAATTAATGAAGGCGGGAGTGTACTGTGGTTAAGGAGATAGGCTTTGGAGTCAGACAGACCTGGGTTGGAATTCTGGGTTGCTGCTTGCTGAGTGACCGTAGGTAAGTTACTTAACCATACTGAGAACTTAGTTTCCTTATCTTTGAAATGAGACCTATAGGGACGCCTGGGTGGTTCAGTCGGTTAAGTGTCCGACTTCGGCTCAGTTCACGATCTCGCAGTTCATGGGTTTGAGCCCTGCATCAGACTCTGTGCTGATAGCTCAGAGCCTGAAGCCTGCTTCGGATTCTGTCTCCCTCTCTCTCTCTGCCTCTCCCCCACTCTCTCTCTCTCTCTCTCTCTCTCTCTCTCTCAAAAACATTAAATAAATAAAGAAATAAATAAAATGTAAAATCTTAGAAAAAAAAAGAGACCTGTTGTACTACCTACCTGTAACATTATAGGGGAGGGTAAATTAAATAATGCATATAGATGTCTTTGCAGTAAGTGGCACATAGCATTTAGTATTAGCTATTATTATTTTTAAAAATTTTTTCATGTTTATTTATTTATTTTGAGAGAGAGAGAGAGAGAGAGAGAGAGAGAGTGAACTGGGGAGAGGTAGAGAGAGAGAGAGAGAGAGAATATCTCAAGCAGGCTCTGCATTGTCAGCACAGAGCCTGACGCAGGGGTCGATCTCATGAACTGTGAAATCATGACCTGAGCCAAGATCAACAAGAGTCAGACACTTAACCAACTGAGCCACCCAGGTGCCCTGTTGGCTGTTGTTATTAATTACAATAATGGTGAGAAGGAATACAGGCAGTAGCTACAGACTGTTAACTGTATACATAATGGAAGATGAGCTAAGGGTCCTTCCACATCGGAAAATTGTTTGGAGTAAGCCATCTGTGCAGCCCAGCAAACAAAAGACAGTCCTGTAACTTCTACTAGAACCAGTGCTCTGGGAAGGGGCTCTTATACTCATGTCACTTCTTTGCATTGACAAATAGCTTTCACTACCCCAGTCAGAAGTGGAACTCTGGGGACTGGGTTCAGTGTGGCTGTCACTCAGTATTTGGATTATCTGGTAAAATTCCCAAGTAGCAAAGTCCTCTACAACTAGCCCTTTGTAGATGTTTGAGCACAAAATGCTCTTCCTCTTGAGCTCTGCTCAGGGAAGGCAGTTGTACATTTCAGAGACCAGTTTTTTCCCTTCTGTTACTGAGGCACACAGCAAGAGGTTCATGAACACAGACCTGTGCCTTTGACTCTAACTTCTCTCCTTAAGTTGAATATTTATTACCTTTACTATTTCATGTTTTTCCAGGGAAAATGATGTGGCTGGGATTGATGTCAACATGGGCTGCCCAAAAGAGTATTCCACCAAGGTAAACTGATTTGTTTATATGCCTTACAAGTACAAGGTACAGGGTAAAGGCAACTAACAAGACATTACAGCTAAGTATGGTACCTGACCCTGGCCTAGATCCTGTAGTAGATGGGAAAAATGCTCAAGAGGATATTATTAGATCAACTGGCAAAATTGGAATATGGGCCATACTAGATTAGCTAGAAATACTGTATCAGTGTAAATTTATCAAATTGATAACTCTTCTATGGTTTTGTAAGAATATCTCTATTCTTTTTTTTTTTAAGATTTTTTTTTTTTAATTTTTTTTTTTCAACGTTTATTTATTTTTGGGACAGAGAGAGACAGAGCACGAACGGGGGAGGGGCAGAGAGAGAGGGAGACACAGAATCGGAAACAGGCTCCAGGCTCTGAGCCATCAGCCCAGAGCCTGACGCGGGGCTTGAACTCACGGACCGCGAGATCGTGACCTGGCTGAAGTCAGACGCTTAACCGACTGCGCCACCCAGGCGCCCCTAAGATTTTATTTTTAAGTAATCTTTATACGCAATGTGGGGCTCAAACTCATAACCCTTAGATCAAGAGTTGCATGCTCCACTGACTGAGCCAATGAGGCATCCCAAGAATATCTCTATTCTTAGAAAATACACATTGAAATATTTCAATGTGAAGGGCTATCATGTAATGTAACTTACCTGGAAATAGTTCAGGAAAAATTTTATATATATACACACACATACACATACACACATAGATAAACACACACAGAGCACTTATGCGTGAGTAATTAATGATGTGAATGTTAAAAGAAAAAATGTGAACAGAACTTTGTTGTTTCATGAATAAAACTGAGACATATATTTAAAAAAATAGAGCATGCAATACATGTGTCCCCATTGTCATATCAGAAGGTCAGAACAGTGCTAGGGTAGCTCACAGAAAGGAGTGGAAAGGCAGCCCTTAAACTCAGTATCATATAGGAAAATGTGGTCCTTGATGAGGAGATTTGGGACCCTACAGGCAGAGGGAGTGGCAGAGGCAGGGGCCTGGAGGCCAACATGAGGTAGAGGCAGAGAACCTTGATTTGACTTGAGAGTTGGGTAGTGGAAGACAAAGAGAAAGCAGAGGAGCACAGGATTGTAAATTTTGGTTAGGACCAGATTAGCTGAACTTGGACTTTTGATATTTCTCACCTTTTTGAACAGAGAACACCTTTTTGATCAGAAACTTAGTTTCCTTCCCTAGGGGAAACCAGTGTTACTATTTTCTTATCTCTTTCCAAATATATTCTGTGTAGAAATACTTAGAAACACAGATTTAGGAGATGAACGTCCTGGGTTCATAGGGGAGACCAGGGATGGGGAGAGGAGAAGTGAAACTGGAGTAGAATTTGATAGGAGTTGGGTGGCAAATGATCAGACCGGGTGTGGGGAGGTGGGGTGAGTGGTTGTGGGAGAGGGAGGAAAGACGTAGCAAGGAGGACAGTTGGTCTTCAGTGTGATTGGGACTGCTGGAAGAAAAGCATGTGTGGGGCAGAAAACAAGAACAGCTTGGGACTGACTGCAGGGCTGCTGCTGGGAATCTTATCACAGGGTTCATGGTCAGGATCTGCAGTGTAGACATAGCAGATGTCCCCCTGGATCCACTGCCCAGAGTCAGCCACTCTGCTCCCAGGAGTTATGTGGCTTGGGGCTTTGGCTTTAGGCCAGGAGGCAGAAGGCTACTTGAGGGAAAGGATCTTTGGATGCTTGAAAACCACAGGGCTTGTCGACAGCTATTTCAAGGGATTATGGAGGTTTGAAATTGTCTATGAGGAGTTGAAAACTTGGGACCATATTTTGCTGTCTTCTAATTACTCCTTTGTGCTTCTGAGTTATGTAAGGAGCAGAGTTTAAATTAGTGGCATAATCTCCTTGACACATTGTGGAATGAAAAAGCAAGGAGCCAAATTAGATATGGTATACCACCATTTATATATGAGGAATGGGGAATGAATATTTATGTATATATTTACATTTCTCTTCATAGAATGTATTTGGAAAGACACACAGGAAACTAGTAACACTGCCTTTCCCTGGGGAAGGAAACCAAGTTTTTCTTTGGTTTGGCATAGGGAATAAATTCCCATTATAGGGGTGCTTCCCAAAATAACTAACAACTGGTATAGCACTGGCCCTGACCGGTCAGAACAGATGTCTACCAGTGTGCTATACCAGTACATGCCACCTGAATAGCCACTCTCTTCTCGTGGTTCAAAAATTGAAGCCTTATAGAAAGCATAATATGAAAAGTTTTCCATTCCTCAGGGAAGGAGAGTTCTTACTTTTTCCCTTTTGAACCTTGAAAATTTTTAATGTGTCACCTATTCAAAAAAGCAAATAAGTTAAAAAGAAAGGAAGGAAGGAAGGAAGGAAATGCTAATTGAGAAAACCAATGTTGTGGAAGGGCCAGTAAGACTGGATTTTAGATTCTGTGATTACCCAAGGAAGGGCCGGATCATGCGTGAGGACACACGGAGTTGGGGTGAGTGGCCAGGGCTTTCCTTAAGGCCTCTAAGGTTGTATCTGTAACAAGGTAGGCCAGGGCTGGTAGCTCCTCTGCCTTTCCCATTTTCCTCTGAAATGCAAGCTCAGGCTGGCTGAGTCTGTGGTGGTTCAGAGTTCTCTGGTTCTAATCTGTCATCCTTAAATAGGAAATTACACTGTAATAACTGAACTTAAAACTTCTGAGCCCATCCTATGAGCATTCATTGGCATGCAGTTTATATACTGACAAGCGATTTATTTATTGGGTTTGTTTTTTTCCCTTTACCATTGTAGAGATCCTCCCGTTTCCTGATTATTAAAGTAATTCATACCTTTGTCCAGAACTTGTGTGATATAGAAAAGTACAAAAAAACCCCCCAAAAACAAAAAACACTAATCACTAATAATCTCACCATCAAAACTCAACTGGTGTTGTTAATGTCAGGATTTAAGTAGCTCCTCAGGTTGTTGGTTTCCATTAGCTGGGGCTTTTGCTAGAGTTTGATGCTGGTCTGGAGCAGTGTTGCTGGCAGGGAAGAAGAGCCTGGACAAGATTTGCAGGTTATATTCCTCTAAGTGGCTTTGCTGGCAGTGGTGATACCAAAGCAAGTGTTGGTAGGATAGGAGGAAGGTACATTGGATCTCATTTCGAAGGGAGAATGCTTCATTGCTTTTTAAAGGGCTTGGCAGATTGTGGGGTTTAGCTTATTGAGACACTGAGATCCTGAGTAGGGAATGGGCACTCCTGAAAAACAATTTTTGTAGAACCCACTTCTGGATAGATCTGTGGATTTTGCTAAGAGGATCAGAGTGATGACTTTTAGAATTCATCAAACTCTGATCCCTGGCATTGTGAGCCTAGTTGCTGCTGCTTCCTTCTTGCTGAGGGGAAGTGCTAATTGCCAGTGAACCTTGCTTGGTCTCTTAGCTGTGAGTGCCAGGTTGCCACACCACGTTGCCATACCATGGGGAGGGACCACCCTTCTCCAAGTGTAAGAAGACCCTCTGTGTGCTTTTTCTTAGGGGGGAATGGGAGCTGCTCTGCTGTCAGACCCTGACAAGATTGAGAAGGTAAGTCCTGCAGGAGTGAAAATAGAGGTCCTTAAACTTGCTTGTGAACTAGAGTTGTCTGAACATGCACCCACCCTCATCTCCCCCAACATGATTTTTTTTTAATGTTAGTTTATTTTTGAGACGGAGAGAGAGTATGTGCACGTGAGCAGGGGAGGGGCAGAGAGAGAGGAGGACGGAGGATCCAAAGTGGACTCTGCACTGCCAGCAGAGAGCCCGATGTGGGACTCGAACTCATGAACCATGAGATCATGGCCTGAGCCGAAATCAAAATCGGACGCTTAACCAACTGAGCCACCCAGGCACCCCTCCTCCCCCAAGATTTAATGACTCAGTTTATCAGTTACTCCACCTGGAGTCTGAAAAATTTTTTCTTTAAGTAAGCTCTGTGCCCAGTGTGGAGCTTAAACTTACGACCCTAAGATCAAGAGTCCTATGCTCTAGTGACTGAGCCAGGTAGGCACCCCTGGAGTCCGGAAAATTTTTGAAAGGCTTCCCAGTGATTGTGACATACAGTCAGGTTTGGGAACCCCTGAACGAACCAATAGCAGCCTTGGAGTTCCTCCAAAGTCCGGGGCTTGGAGACATGTCAACTGAGAGCCGAGGGGCTTAAGGAGTCATTTAGAGGCTCCTCTGTATTGCCTATCTACCTTCTGAGAAGATCATGTGAGCATAGGCCAGGCTATCTGTAGATTATGGACAGACTCTGTGCCAGTGGTGGTGGGGGTTGGCCTCTCCCAGCGGGCTTGCTGAGAGCAACAGTGGGTCCCCTCCACACTGGCAGAGTCCACCACCAGCCTTTGAGAGTAGCCTGGCCAGTGTCATGTGAGGCAAGTTGAGCTTGGTCGCCTCTGCTCCCCTTCCCTTGGTGATTCCAAAAGTCAGGTTTATGAGGCCCTGCAGCCAGGTTGGCCTTTGTCACCGTGTTGTGAGCTGCCAGGGCCTGTAGGGGTGACATTTTCTACCAAGCCATATGCACCTTTTACTTCTTTGTCAGTCTACCAGTTCTCTCCTTGTTGCTCCTCTTAGTTTCTTTGTTTTCATCCTCCATTCCGGCTTCCCTGTGTGCGCTTTAAACCTTCTAGTGCCTCTCATAGGCTAGAGTAACTTGGGATAGGGCACCACCAATAAAAGCTGCCATTATTTGTGCTGCCTGCTGTGTCAGCAGCTCAACCATATATATTCCTCCAGCCCCACTGTCTTTGGGATATTGGAAGACCAGTGTGTTGAGGGTCTTGGTGCCTTTTCATTTTCTCCACGTGAAGATAGGTACACACACACACACACACACACACACACACACACATATATGCACACTGTATGTATAATAATAATATATAATACTTATATATAAATAACATGTAATACATATATTATGTACTGTAGTAATATATATAACGTGCTTATATATGTATATAGTACCTATAGTATATCCCTGCGGTTTGTAGGGTAATTTCCTTTTCAAAATATATTCTAGCATTTATTCCATTTGTTCTTCAAACCCCTTGAAGTAAATAGGGCAGGCATTTGTCATCTCTATTTGATCAACAATAATAAAACTAAAGCACAGAGAGATAAAAGTAGTTTGCCCAAGATTATATAGCAAGTAAGTAGCAGGCAGAGCAGTGTCTAGAGCCATGGTCTTGTGACCCCTATGCCAATATCAGTGCTCCCTCTTGATGGCATCTCAGTTTAGAGGTGCCTGGGTGTAATTTAGAAGTGTCTAGCTACGGATCAGTTGACATATGTACTTAGGAACCTCTAGTCAGACCCCTCTGTGTAGGATGGAGTGGATGTGGACAACTGTGGATGTCAAATTCATCACCCTGCCTTGGGGAAGAGGGCCCGGTATGGGGTGGTGTTGCTTCACAACACATGCACTCAGACATCTTTATTATTATTCTCCAGTTTTCTGGCTTTTCCTACCTAGGCTGTTGGCTCTGTCTTCTCCACTGCCCCTCTTTGGATAAGACATGTCTCACACATGAGGCAGAAGAGTTAAACTGCTCAGTTCATTCTGCTTCTTCTCTTTTTGGTGTTCTATCTGTTGAGAATTCTGTATAGGCGTGGGGTAGATAGGGGCAGGGAGGAAGTATTAATTAGTCTTTTGAAAAATCTTTCTTGGTAACACTCATACATCTTTCCTAGGTTAAGACCCTTAGTTTAATAAAAAAAGTTTTTAAACATTTATTTATTATCAAGAGACAGAGAGAGACAGAGCATGAGCATGGGAGAAGCAGAGAGAAGGGGAGACACAGAATCCAAAGCAGGCTCCAGGCTCTGAGCCGTCAGCACAGAGCCCGATGTGGGGCTCTAACTCACAAACCACGAGATCATGGCCTGAGCTGAAGTCGGACAATTAACTGACTGAGCCACCCAGGTGCCCCAAGGACCTTAGTTTTAGACTCTTAGTTAGTAATATCCTTTCTCTAACCCCTGGACTCCAAGATCTGACCCCCGTGGCTGCCCAGGGCATCCCCCTGTGCATGTTGCACTTGGGCCAAGGCTAACAACTGGCAGGGCCAGAACTTGAACTCAGTTCTCAGTGATACCTAAGCCTATGCTCTCCATCCTCCTTTCCACTCATTCCCCAACAACCAGGGGAGCTAAGAGTCTGCTTTTCTTGAGTCAGCTGGTGGATCTGATGAGTTGAGCCTGCCTGTGGGTAGATGTGTTGTGTTTTCTGTGTTATCTGTTATGAGCCTATCTCAGGTCCTTCTCCCTCACTGATTTTCATAGTACAGAGACAGGTGGTGTGACTTGGATCTGGGAGAGTTGAGTCTAGGGGGGGGTTTCATGCTAGGGCCTAGCCAGAAGACAGATTCTCATCACCCGTTCCCCTTAATGTGACCTTTGCAGGTGGCTGGGCATTTTGATTACTAATTTCCTTCCTGATTCTGAACAAGCACATGAAATGAACAGAAGTACCAAAGAAAGTGCTTAGAGCTACTTGGATGAAATACAGCAAAGGAAGTTCTGCAAAACAGAGAACTGGATCAAACCAGCTCATGTTGCTTCAGTCACCAAATATCAGGGGGTTCTTGTATTTTTTAAAAAAAAATTTTCATTGTATTTATTTTAGAGAGAGAGAAAGCACACACACACATGGGTAGGGGAGGGGCAGAGGGAGAGGGAGAGAGAATTCCAAGCAGGTTCCACACTCAGCGCAGAGCCTGAAGCAGGGCTCATTCCCACAACCATGGGATCGTGGCCTGGGCCGAAATCAATAGTCAGACACTCAACTGACTGAGCCACCCAGGCACCCCAAACATTATGGGATTCTAAGTCCACAATAGCAAAGGAACCTTCCAGATGTGCTATGGTTAGCATGAGGGATAGGATTCAAGGGAGAATTTTTTTATTGTGTATCTCAGTGGATCTGGCAGTTCCCCACCCCCACTGCCTTAAAGGGTAGCTGCCCCCTTAAGGCCTGCCAGAGTGACCCTAGGACCACAGGTCCAGTATGCCTCCTGGGGCAGCATCTGGGGACTGTTCCTTCCTGCCAGTCTTTGGCATTGGTCCTTGGGCCAACAGGCCCTGTCTTGCCTGTGATCTGTTAACGTGCCTTGTCAGCCCAGCCTCTTCGTCTCATGTCTTCTGGAGCGGTTTGCCAGAGAATGTCCCTGAAAGGCCTCCTTGACTGGTTCTTTCAGTCTCGCTCTCTGCTGCCCCCACTTGTCTAGAACCAAGACTGACACCAGCTGCGTGGGTGTCCTCTCTGCTCTTCTGGCAGTCAGTTCTTAGAAGAGAGCTCTTGGGATCACCTTCCCTCCAGCTTGTCTAGACTGAAATTTAAAAAAAAAAAAGTTTTTAAAAAATTATTATTTTGAAGTAATCTCTACATCCAACGTGGGGCTCAAACTCATGACCCCGAGATCAAGAGTTGGATGCTGTATGACTGAGACAGCCTGGCACCCCTGGCCTGAAATTTTCGATAAGGGAAGAAGATAGCAATGCCACAGACATTCACTGTCATCTGCATGTCTCTTGATCTCTGATTCATACGTGACCTGGCCTTGACACTTCTCTGACACTTTCCTGTATAACTTCTTGATCTTTCTTTGAAGTCCTTTGCAATTACTGTGCAAATTAACACTTTATAATGTGTTGAATATGTTGTTTTTTTCCTTTGCCATTTCACTTCTGTATATCTGACTCACCTAAAGAGAGGCATATGAGGACAGGGCCCAGGACCTGTAAAACCTTCCTTGCTCTGTCACTCAGTAGATCCTGGAACAGCACTCAGGGAACATTGCTTTCACGCAGGAATGAAGCTGTCAGCCGTGTGTTCTCAACCAGGACTAGGCCTCAGAATCCTTTGGAGGAGGGAGTATGTTAAGCTGAGACTTTTTTATTTTTATTTAAAAAAATTTTTTTTATAACGTTTATTTATTTTTGAGACAGAGAGAGAGACAGAGCATGAACGGGGGAGGGTCAGAGAGAGGGAGACACAGAATCCGAAACAGGCTCCAGGCTCTGAGCTGTCAGCACAGAGCCCGACGCGGGGCTCGAACTCATGGACTGTGAGATCATGACCTGAGCCGAAGTCGGCCGCCTAACCGACTGAGCCACCCAGGCGCCCCAAGCTGAAACTTTTTTAAAAATTGAAAAGATTTTCTAGTTTTACCAAGAAGTTGACATACATCACTGTATGCGCCTAATGCACAGGTCTGTAACAGAGTTAATTAGTATGAGCGGTTGTGGTGGTTTTTTCAGAAGTGTTTGTGTTTTCCTCTCTGCAGATCCTCAGCACTCTTGTTAAAGGGACTCGCAGACCTGTGACCTGCAAGATTCGCATCCTGCCCTCGGTAAGGATGATGTGTTACATTTCAAGGTCCATTTTTTCAAAGGATGTTGTTTTGGGAGGAGGTGAATGGTTCTCGAGGACAGTTGACTTAGGTTGGAGGAGGGAGTGGGGCTGAGCTCACTTTTGGAGCTGGCAGCTATTCGCTGGGTAGCTTCTCTAACCACCCTGGACTGTCCTCTTCCCCAGCTGGAAGATACCCTGAGCCTTGTGAAGCGGATAGAAAGGACTGGCATTGCTGCCGTTGCAGTTCATGGGAGGTGAGTGGTTCCCTATCTAGTGACTGACTTGCAGTCCTCAACCATCGTAACAATCCTTTGTCAGACCCTAGGTGACAGCCAACTTTTCTTCTACATATGCAGCCTGCCTCTGCCTAGCTCTTTGACATCCTTGGAGTCCTGAGGGCAGCTAAACCCTTCATGGGTGGGCATTTTTCATTGTTTCATTCACTGAACACCTACTGGTGGTAGACGCTACACTGAGTTTAGAGACAGAGAAGGAGAGGAAGATTGAGTTTAAAGACACAAGAGGAAGGGGAAACGCCCCTACCCTCAGGATGTGTAAATGGTAGAGATCGAGTGATAGGTTCACAGTTGTACTGTGCAGCCAGGAAGTGGTGGAATTAGAACTCTGACTCTGAATCTCATTTGCTTTCCAATACATTGAGCAATAGCTTCTCCCCCAAATGACCCCATGCAGATGGCTCTGCTTTTAATGGCATTGTCTCTTTTGTCTGCCCTTCATGGACTGCCAGCTGTCACAGTGACTACTTTAAACAGCTCTTGTATCTGTAGCTAATATGCTGTCTTCTGGGAGCTGAGGTGTTGCTGGAGGCTACTTTTGGTTTCCCAGTTAGACTTGTTCCGTGTGTCCATGATGTACATTTTTTTTTTGGGGTAAAGTTTACTTATTTTGAGTCAGGGAGAGCACACAAAAGAGTGCGAGTGAGAGAGGGGCAGAGAGAGGGAAAGAAAGAATCCCAAGCAGGCTCTGTGCCATCAATGCAGAGCCTGATGAACCGTGAGATCATGACCTGAGGTGAGATCAAGAGTTGGACACTTAACCGGCTGAGCCACCCAGGCACCCCTATGATGTAGTTTTGTACAGAATCCCAGGTCAACAGACTTTGTTCAGAGTGACCTCTCTTCTCTGAGTGATGTTCCTTTTGGGTTCAGGGTTCTTATAGGAACAGCCCACTTTTTGCTGGATGTGTCTATGACAGCATTTTCAGAGAAAATGTTAACTCCCAACATGTGTAAGAGAAAAGGAGAGCTGTGTGGGCTGAAGCCAGTAGGGGGCGGGGAAAGGCTACACACGTGTACATGCAAGCTCCTCCCTGTGGCAGCAGGCTCTAGGCTCAGACTGCCTGGTTTGGGCTCCCATTTCTGCTGCTTGTTGGCTGTATATCCTTGGATAAATCACTTAACCTCTCTGAGTACCACATTTTTCATTTGGAAATTAAGATAATTTCTGCTTTATAAGGTTGTCTTGAGGCTTTTATGAGGTTGTGAATATATAGCCTTGGCACAGTGCCTGGCATATGGTGTTCTCTGAATAAATACAGCTATTCCTTTTTACCAGTAGTTGGAAACACCAGGAAGACAGATTCGGGTGAGTTTAAAGAGGGGCTTTCTGGCCATCAAAGCTGTTGAGGATGGGTTCTGGGCTGAAATGGGCTGCTGGGGTGTGGGGAGGTAGAGGTGAGGATGGGTTGACAGGGCCTTCTGAGGCTTTTGTTGAGCCTCCTGACCCTTTTGTTGAGGAGCATACCAGAGGAGATGCACGCAGACAAGACCTGAGCAAGGGCTGTCTGGTTGACCATCTCTCTTGCTTGTTCCTGAGCATAGCTTAGATCAGGCTTCACTTCAGCATCTCTAAGACTCATTCACTCATACACAAGAACCTCTTGCAGTTGACCTTGGAAGGAGAGGGCTTAGGTTGTGGTCCTACCTCTCTGGGGCTTGTTGTGACAGCCATGATTTGTGGCCTGTCCTGCCTGCTGGGTCTACCCTGTGCCAGGTGCCTCTCCCCAGGATCAGCTGCCCAACTCAGCCTCAGCATAGGCAGCTGTGTGGGAGTGGCCAGTCTGAGGGCAGCAGCTGTTCCCAGTCTCGTGGGGAGGGCAGCACTGGGACAGTAGGGGCAGCATTCTTATAGCACTGTCCCTCATCTCTGGCACAGGTGAAGGGAAGCCAAGGAAAGGCAGTGTGACCTTGGGAGCCAGGCCACCCACACCAGCCCTGTGCAGCCACACCTCACCTGCAGGCCTGCAAGAGCTGGACTTGCCTTCTCAGCAGGGACTTCTGCTGCTCCTGCCCCTTACAACAGAGGTCATGGAGAGCCATCCTCTGCAGCCCAGAACCCTGTCCTTCATGGCCACATGGCCTTCCTGAGGTTCAGTAGGGAGGATGGTAGGGTTTGGCTAAGGTAAACCTTAGTTTGAACTGTGATATGGCCTCAGCCCTCAGCCCATCCTTTTTTCTTTATCTCCAAGAAAGCGGGAAGAAAGACCTCAGCACCCTGTAAGCTGTGAAGCCATTAGAGCCATTGCTGAAACCCTCTCCATTCCTGTCATAGCCAAGTAAGCCTCTCTTCCTCATCGTTTACTTTTTTGTGCTCCACCTCACTCAGAGAAGTTTGAGCTGGCATACAAAAAATGGAATGAGCTAGCATTAAAAAATGACCTAAGGGAAAAGGAAAAAAGGGTAGTACAAAAAAATGAGGTTGGACATGAAGCTGAAAAGTACCTATTGTGTCCACTAGCTTCTGGTGAGTGACCGATGTAGGTGTGCAGTAGGCAGGGTCCCAGGGCATTTTGATAGATGGGTTGAGGGTAGGAGTGTTCAGGAGACAGGGAGAGCAAGAAAGCAGCCGCTGAAGCAGACCCAAGGCAAAAGTGATGTCACACCCAGAGTTAGGTGTGCAGGGTGTAGGGTGAGTAGTCCCAAGCCAGAGCATACAGAAGTATGGCTCAGGGGGCATAAGGCAGGTCACAGTCCAAAGCCCAGACAAGCATTCTGGGCAGCCATAGGACCAGGGAATGAGACTGACAGTTCTGAGGTACCAGTGACCAGCCCAGAGGCTTAGCAGTAAGACAGTGTCCAGTTGTCATTGGGGCACTGGCCATGTGGGCCAGTCCAGTGCAGCCTTGCACCTTAGGATGGCATAGAGCCTGATGGCAAGATGGGAACAGAAATTCTAAAGCCCCGAAGTCCTGACAAAGGGCATGCCTGCCTGGTGGGAAGGAGGGAGCGAGTTAAGGTTGGGGGTGGTAGCCAGGCTTGGTTGTTCCCAGGCCAGGAGTTTTAGGGCTGGCGTGGAGAGGGTAGGGTACTCAAGACCCTGGATCCTGTTGCTGCTGCTGCCACCTGAGGGTCTTCCCCACCATACATATAAGGCTGTGCCTGGATTGAGGCTGCCACCTGGCCCCCAATGGAACAGATGCAAATGGAGCAGTTTCCAAGGGGGCCCTTGGGGCCTCGGGGTGGCAGGAAGGGAAATTGCAACCAAACTGGGCCTCCTTCCTTCCTCTCATGATCACCACTGTGTCTGTGGTTTTTGACCCACCTGTTAGTAGGTATATAGGTGCTCCAGGCTGGGGATCTTTCTGTGATCCCAGCATCCACTTAACAGACCTATGTCTTCAGATTTGGGCTGGCTTTAGCCACTGTTTAGGATGAGGAGGAGGGAAGGAAGGTAAAATCTCTGAGACACCTGTTAAGTGCCAGGCCTGGTTCAGGCTGTTTCACTGTGTTATCTCACTTGGTGTTTCTGACCCCATAGTGGGGTGTGTGTTCTAACCTCCAGTCTCCCAAAGTACTCACAGCTGAAGGATTTGGTCAAAGCCACATGGTTAATGAGTAGCAGATCTGGGAGTTGCTTTTTTCTGAAGATGCTAGTATGAGGATACCCCTCACTCCCCTGTTGCCTTTCAGCGGAGGATCTCATGACCACATCCAAGAATATTTGGACATAGAGGACTTTCGACAAGCCACAGCAGCCTCTTCAGTGATGGTGGCCCGAGCCGCCATGTGGAACCCATCCATCTTCCTCAAGGAGGGTCTGCGACCCCTGGAGGAGGTCATGCAGAAGTACATCCGATATGTACGTCTATGCACTTTTTCAAAAGAAACATTTTTCACTGTCTGCCACATTCCTGCAGAAGGTGCCTTGGGTGAGCCCCAGCCCCCAGCAGCCATTGTTGTTCCTCTCCTTCTCTTTGTAGTTCTTATAATGTAGCATTGGGTCTCCTTGGTTTCAATGTGAAGAGAGGATGCTGGGGCAACCCCTACCATCACCTCCTTCTAAAGCTTTCTAGGCAATGAGGTCCTATCAAGGACCCTGGGATTCAGGATGCTGCTAAGGCCCCAAACATGTGAATCTTTCTCTCTCACATCCTCCACACACATATACACGCATGCACAACGACAATGGGATCTGTGTCACTGAAGACACTCATGCCAGTGGTTGGTGCCTGAACAGCTACAGCTAAGAAAAGCCATTGTAATTATCGTTGAGGATAGATTATCTGTACAGAGACTTTGCATCTTGTCATGCGTCAGAATCACTTCTAAAACTATTCTCTTGCTGGGGTGCCTGGCTGGCTCAGTTGGTGGAGCATGTGGCTGGTGATCTTGAGGTCGTGAGTTCAAGCCCCACACTGGGTGTAGAGTTGACTTATTTGAAATAAAATAAAACTCTTCTCTTGCTCATTCCCAGAACGCTTTAACCTCTGACTTAGGGAATAGCCTAACTTTAACCCTCTCCTTAGGGACTAGCTTTTTCCTCTCACTGAGAGCTTGATTGTAGTGCCAGAAACATTTCCCTCTAAAGGAATTTTAAAAAATTCTTTTTAATTTTTTTTTTTTTTTTTTTTACTTTTGAGAGAGAGAACATGAGCAGGGGAAGGGCAGAGAGAGAGGGAGACACAGAATCCAAAGCAGACTCCAGGTCCTGAGCTGTCAGCACAGAAGAGACCAACGTGGGCTTTGAACTCATGAATCAAAAGATCATGACCTGAGCCTAAGTCAGATGCTCAACTGACTGAGCCATCCAGGTGCCCCATCCCTCTAAAGGAATTTTTTGACCAGTTCACCTGCCCTGTCCCTTTGGTACAATCCTGGAATTGTGTGAGTCTCTGTGATTAGCTGTACATGTCTGCAGGCAGAGAGACAGTCGGTGGACTTCTAATTCATCAGTGCACTGGGCCTGAGCAGAGAGTCTAGCCCTCATCCTCTTCGATACTGGGAGTTGCACCCTCCTAGGAGGGTCAGGAGCTTCTCAGATCCTCAGACTGCCCATGCCCCCTTCAGGCCATGGCCATGCCTTTGGCTCTGTGGCTGCCATGGCATGTGGGTATCCCTGGGACTGTGCAAGCTGGGTATGGTAGGAGGCCCTGAGGCTTCTAACTGTCCAAAGATGGGCAGTTTCTGTCCCTAGAGCCTCCCCAGCTTGATACTACAGCCCTCATCTCCTGGGTTCCAGGTGTCCTGTTGGGCAGGTTTGTGACCACCAGGCCATCCAGTATCCTGAGTCAGCTAGAGACCTTGCCTTAGCCTAGGTCGCCTATCTAGCTCTTCCACCTGAGTAGCAAGTCTGTAGCAGAGAAGATACATTCAGCTGTGCTGAGCTTGCTCACTGGGTAAAAGGTGATGTTGTCATTCTTGCTCAGTCCATCCTTTGGCAGCTTCTCAAGAGCTGTAGTCCTGAAGGAGGGGAGTGGCTTTCAAGCTTAGGCAGGGCTGCTGCTGGTCTAGTCAGGTGCCTTCTGACAAGCTGGATCAAGGCCTTGCCACCGGCTGGGGCTTTACCAGCGTATCTCTGCTTTGTCCTCAGCATGTCACGGTACCTTCCCGGTTACTGAAGATACAGGCCTAGGTGGAGAGATTAGAAGAGTGTAGGGGGCGAAGGGTGGGAGGGTGTTCTAGAGGCTGGGGCACCCTCCACTCACTGCTTTTCTGTCTGCCCAGCCAGGCAGGCTTCTACTGGGTATCCCTGTGCAGTCAGCTTGCTTCCCGAGGCTGCATTTCTCAGTCTGTGGAGTAGGGGTAACAACTGCACCTCATGCTTGTGAAGCTCAGTGAAGTGACAAGTAACATGTGAACACGACTGGCACATTGTGCTGTGCCTTACCCATGGCGGGGGAGATTGGAGGCAGGCTGTTCTCCCATCCAAGTACTAACCGGGCCCGACCCTGCTTAGCTTCCGAGATCAGACGAGATCGGACGCGTTCAGGGTGGTATGGCCGTAGACTGGAGACAGGCTGTTCTACACTGTGTTTAGAGATAGAAGAATCTCACCCCTGTCCTGGTGCTGTTCCTGTCACACCAGATTTTGACTTGCTCCTCCTCCCTGCCCTGGAATGGCAGCAGGTCCTCTGTGGTAGCCTATGGTGGCTGAAGCAGGAAGGGGTCCCCACACATCTGGACTTCTGTCAGGCTGTTCAGTAGAATATGCTCCTGACCCTCAGCTATGACTCTTGAGCATTGTGCCACTAACAGGAGGAGTAAATGGCCAGGATGGAGGTGGCTTTTCTTATGAGGTCACACTACCTCATCTGCAAGCATACCTCTGATGCCCTCTTGGAGGCCCTTTCCCTGCCATAGCTCAGGCCTCAGATCCTGGGCAGCAAGTAGGCTCATGTTGGTTCTTCCCTCAGGCTGTGCAGTATGAAAACCACTACACCAACACCAAGTATTGCTTGTGCCAGATGCTACGAGAACAGTTGGAGTCGCCCCAGGGAAGGTTGCTCCATGCCGCCCAGTCTTCCCAGGAAATTTGGTGAGAGAGGCAATGGCTGTCCATAATTACTTGCAGACGTTGCCCAGACTTGACTATGAGCCCTGGTTGACTATCAGGGGACCAGGGATACAGCTTCTGGAGGTGGATGTACTGGAGTGGGGTGGTGATGCAGTTTTGCCTCACAGAATAGGATACTTAAGAAACCTTTGGAAATTTCCATCTCTGGACTGATCTCACAGCAGAATTTTGGGAACTAGAGTGCCAGTAGGATGGAGGAATCTGGGGACTGGGCTTGGGAATTCCTGGGGAGGAAGGGACTTTCACAGTAACAGATCTGCCACACACCAGGCCATCAAGACCCAATGGTCAGAATTGAGCCCCTGGCCTGAGCCTGTGCCCACACCCCATCACTTTGCAGTCTGGGAGGCTACCCCATGGTCCTCTACATTTGATATAGCTCCAGTTCAGGTGGTTGACCTTTGGGGCCCCTCACAACGTGGCCTAGTACCTGTTCCTTTGGCTCCATATTTACCTATTTTCCCAGGCCCACACCTGTACTCAAACTGGGTCTTCTGCCTGAATGCTCTCTCCTCCTCATGTTGGCTGTCTGCTTCCTCCTTCCTCAAAGAAACTTTTCTTTTTTAATTAAAAAATTTTTTTAATATTTATTATTTTTGAGAAAGAGGACAGAGCATGAGCAGGGGAGGAGCAGAGAGAGAGGGAGACACAGAATCTGAAGCAGGCTCCAGGCTTCAAGCTGTCAGCACGGAGCCCGATGTGTGGCTTGAACCCATGAAGTGTGAGATCATGACCTGAGCTGAAAGTCGGACACTTAACCAACTGAGCCACCCACGTGCCCCATCAAAGAAACTTTTCTAAACCATGCTTGTGCCCAGGCACCCATCCTCACAAATACCCTCTGGTCCTCAAGATGCTTCCTAGCAGGGAAAAGAGTTGCCAGAAGACTCTTCCCAACCCTGTGCTTGTGGTGTTGGTTCAGTCCCTATCCCACATAGCTTAACCAGGGTTGACTCAGGTGTCTAATGAGCTCAAGAGAAAGAGTATAATTTTGTAGCTCTTGATGGTACCTCAGTTTAGTCTAGGCCTAACTGCTTGTGGCTGGGGCAGGAAGTGGGGAACCACTTAGTGGTCGTGGCCTCTGTCTCTTTCTCCCTTGGGTCCACATGAGGATGAGGCTGTGCATAAGCCAGGAGCTTGTTCAGTGTAGGTCAGTTCACTCACTGTTGGCTAGGGTCACTTGCATGTGTTTTCTTCTTTGGAAGAGAGTCTGGGCTCAGGTGGTAGAGGTGACCTTTACAGCCTTTTCCACCCACCCCAGCTTGTCTTCCGGTGTCCACCCCCAGAGGCTCACATTCACTCTCTGCCAGTCCAGGCTGATCCCAGGGGTAGGTAGGAGGCACCCCCTGATGGCTAGATCTCAGTGGTGTTTTCATATATATGTGGGGCGGCGGTGGGGAGGAGGGGCATTTCTCAATGGCAAGGCCCTGGGCTCCTGCAGTAGTTTCCTAGATGTTGATTCCACTAAAGGACTTTCACTGCGTTGCTTATCCCTCCACAGTGAGGCCTTTGGCCTTGGTGCCTTTTACGAGGAGATGACACAAGAGCTGAATGCCCGGCGGGCTGAGTTCTTAGCCAGGACCCCAGAGGCAGCGGGGGAACCAGCTGAAGACACCTCTGGTATCATTAAGATGGCTGTGAAGTTTGACCGGTAGGTCTGCAGCTTGGCCTCAGCTTGGCTGGGGCCAGCGCCCTCAGCTGGCTGCTGTACATGGTTAATGCTAAGCTTAGGGACTACAAGTCTTCTGGGTTTGGATACTCGTTCTCATTTTTCAGTGTCCCAGAGATGGCATTTTGAGGAACACGGCCCCTGAAAAAGCCCAGGCAGCACTGTCAGGGGTGTGCATGTTGTCTCAAGTGTGACTAAACACCTTTTCTTTGATCCACCCCCTCCCACAACTTGGGATGGAGAACTTGTCTCCTGTTCTTGAAAGTCTATGCTATTCCCCTGGCCCTGAGCATCTAGCTGCCTCCAAGGCAGTGGTACCCTCGCCCTCATCTGGCTGTGCAACCCCTGCCCATACCTACTGCCCCATACTCACTGCCCCATACCAGCCCTGTGGTTCCCTCTTTAGGCAGAAGTAGCCTCAAGATGATTATTCCTTCAGAGTGTGACTCAGCTTGGAGTAAGGTCCTCATCCTTGTCTTTTGCCATCTGGGATCTGAGCCTTTCTCAGGTCCCTGGGCCCATAGTGGGAGCCAGTCTTGTCTGGCAAGGGCTTGGGAGGAAGGAGTGTGGGCATAGTTGGTCAGTCATATCTGGGGAGAGCTCCTGGTGGGAAGTTGGAACATAGTGCCTCCCACTCTGTCACCCTATCACCGACTGGCTCTGACTCTGGAAATAAGAGTACACTGTGTCCAAGGCAGAAACAGATCATCTTGATACTCAGGGGACATGATAAGGGTGGGTAGTAAGCTAGATCCGAGACCGCTGTGTGGCCATCTATATTCCTAACCACCACCCACTCCCTCCTGTCTTGTTTTAAGAGGCAAACTGGACCTTCCTTTTTGGCTTTTGAAGGCTGTTTTCCAGGCTAGAGTTCAGAGTGCCGGGATTTCACATCCTATCGCAATTCCTCAAGCATGCTGAAGCCCATCTTCCTTTTAGGCAGAACCCAGGCCACACCCCACTGGTGGAACAGAAATGGGAGCTCAGGGGAATAAGTACAGAAGTCCTGAGGCAGAAGCCTGGTGGTGATGGTGGGTGAGCCCTGACTCCTTCCTCTCCTTTTCCCAGGAGGGCATACTCACCCCAGATCACCCCCAAGATGTGCCTGCTGGAGTGGTGCCGGAGGGAGAAGTTGGCGCAGCCTGTGTATGACACGGTGAGGTCCTGCACCTGGCCCTAGAGTGCTCCCATGGCCGATGTCATCACCCCCAACACACTCATAGCCTGTACCCTGAACTCAAGACTACTTGGCTGGAGCCTGGCTTTGTCTTCCGTGGGCTTGCAATATGCAATGGTTGCTGGCGGCTGGACCAGTTGCTGATATGATAGCCCCTTCTCTGTGTCAGTGGGCCTGTTGTCTAATTCTGGCCACTTTCATAACACTGAACTTGAGGCCTATGTAAGGGGTTGCTTGGGCCAGTCCCTGCCAGTGGTGTTGCTTAGACAAGGGAGACTTCTCTGGAAAGGGCCTATTGGCTTACTTAGGAAGAATGCTCAAACCTAAAAGTTAGACATGTTTTTGGACCAGGCCTTAGCCACTGGGGCACAGAATTGGGCCCCAGACTTGAGGCCCCTTGGTGGAAACTTTAAGACAGTCTTGCTTCACCTCCTCTGGTCCCCATGGCCATGTCTTGTTTAAGCTGCACTGTCTCTTCTGGACTGACCTTCTGACCTCTAAACTTGTACCTTCTGGGACTTGTGTCCCCCTCTCCCAGAGTGAGTTTTCCAAAGCGAATCTGACCTCTGCCTCCCTGCTCAAGTCCTCATCCTCTCCCCAGTGCCTTTGGGATCAAGCTCCAGCACCTCAACACAGAGCACAGGGCCCCCCACATGCCTTTCTGCTTCATGTCTCGTCCACTCTGCTCTCTGTCCAGCCACATCATCTGGTCACTCTGCCAAGTGTACCTTCTCTGCCACATCCTTGCCCCCTCTTACCCCTTTGCCATCTGGTCAACTCCTCCTCATTTTGGGTGACCTAGCCCATCCAGATGTCAGTAGAAGCAGGATCCATAGTCACGTGCAGCTAAGGGGTCTGATGGCCCTTTGCTTAGGTCCCTGATTGAACTCCTGAAATACTGGAATGTCGTTACCTGTTTGTGTATCTGTCTTTCTTCCCTGGCAGATGCCCAGGCACTTCTGCTAGGGAGGAGCATGTGATACAAGTAGCCTTCATTTAACTTAGGTGGGAAGTACTTCCTTTATCTGCCTTCCTTGTGATCCTGGCAGGTGAGCCCCAGGGCTCATTCCTCTCGTCCCCATGTAGCCATCCCTGTTGCCTTTGCTCTCTTTGCACCAGGTTCAGCGCCCCCTGGATCGCCTCTTCTGCTCTGTTGTGACTGTTGCTGAGCAAAAGTACCAGTCCACCTTGTGGTGAGTTTCCTCATCATTGGGCTTGGGGCTTGGGATGAGGGGCCTGTACCCAACATTGATGTAAGAGGGTTTGGGGAGGATGGTGTACCTGGGCAGTGGCATCCCTGGGTAATGACCCCTTCCTCAGTTTTGTCAGAATCTTTGTCAAGGGTGTGTAGAGTCAGGCCTTTCCAGCCTCTAGTCCTGGAGCCAGCCTGCCTGTCTACCTGCCTTATTGTCCCATACCTCATCTGCCCAGGGACAAGTCTAAGAAATTGGCAGAGCAGGCTGCGGCCATCGTCTGTCTGCGGAGCCGGGGCCTCCCTGAAGGTCGGCTGGGTGAAAAGAGCCCCTCCTTGCACAAGCGCAAGCGGGAAGCCCCTGACCAAGATCCTGGGGGTCCCAGAGCTCAGGAGCCAGCAGTGCCTGGGAAGCTGTGCAAGAAGCCCTTTGTGGCCTTGGGAAGTGGTGAAGAGAGCCCCCTGGAAGGCTGGTGACCATTGTCCCTACCTTGGCCATCCCCCTTAGGGGCCTGGCCGTAAGTTGGCTATGGGTGCAAAGCATGAACCTGATGCCATTGGACAAATTGCTGACTGTTCCTGGCAGGAGTTAAGAGGTCCTGGCCTGGTCCATCAGCCTGAACCAAAGGGTTCCTAGGGTGCACATCTTCTTTGGTGGATCTGAGTAACAGGGCCAAGTTCCTAGTGACCTCAGTATTTTCTTTGAAAACAGGAACTTTTTGGGTGGCGCCTCCTCAACTTGACATTGGTACAGTGCAATAAAGACACCTCTACCCTTACCCATGGCTACTTGCTTCAGCCCTGGGCATTGTCACACAGACTCATGGCCTGGCATAATTATTTCACTCCCACCCTCTGTGCAGAGCTAGAGCTTCCAACAGCATATCCCCTACCCATCCTTATGGATCTGGTTGGAAGTAGGGGGTTGGGTGTATCCTTTAATGCTCATTGGACTTGGGCTGAGCCAGAAAGGCCCAAGAAGCCCATTCTACTGATGGCAAACCTGAGGTACTGCCCATCAACTGACTTTCTTGATGAGAGGTGCTATAGAATCTGGGGAACAGTTAGGGTATCTGGTACCCTAGTGAGGGACCAGCTCAGATACGTTGGGCAGGTCCTGGGTCTGACCCCCAGCTGGCTGGAGTTCAGACCTGCTGAGGTGTCTGCTCTGGGTAGGGGACACTGAGAACACAGGTTGCTGATGCCAGCAGTTTGGGTCCCTTAAAATCGTCCACCCACGCCGCTGCTTGCCCCCAGCCCCCACTATCCCACTTGGGCCGGAAGGAAGTGGCAGATTCTCTTTAATTTCCTCCTGGCAGTGAGAAGCAAACAAACGGCTACCACATCTCATGGGGCCTCCCCCTCTTACTGGGAGGGGCGTTCTGACCAAAGGTCCCTGCCCTGCACCACCCCCGCTTCCTCCACTGTAAACACACTACTTCTCCTCCCCTTTTCCAAGTGCTGTAGGGAGGGGCATTCCCCTCTAGGCCAAGGCCATGTTTCTCCCATATCTCTAGGGTCAGGCCCCTATGCCAGCCAGCATCCCCTGGCCCTGGTGGCCTGAGATCAGGCGGTGATGCCTCTGTTTCAGTCCTGGAGCTGCACCTGTCTGCACACTTGTTCCTCTGTATGCAGATAAGGATACTGCACTACCAGCTGCCTCCCAGAGCCCATTGCTGTCTGACCTTGGGCAAGTCACTTCTAGTTCTCTTTGGGCCTAAGGGCCCTCTCTGAGAGGGAGATCAGCTGCTCTGCCTGCATGAGGCTGACTGGAGGATAAATAGGCCTATGATAGGGCACTCTGTGGCTAATGGGGTCACTCTATGCTGGGGCTGCCCTAGCTTCCCAGACCAGTGCTCCAAGAGAAGGAGCCCCACCCAGGAGACAGACTGAGGCTTGTTGCAGTCTTAACCATCAAGCTTTAGGCACAGTTTCTGACTTTTCTCACAAACTATCTCAGTTAAAATGCCCCTTGGTCTTTCCTCATATCCCAACTGGAACAGGGCAGACAGAGAGGCCCCAGTGGGCCCCCAGCATCCTGAGCTAGTCAGAGCTTATGGAAGGATCCCATGGGAGACAAATACCAAGTCTTAAGATCCATTTTTCCTGTGGGTTTGGACTGTACCCTCAGGCCTCTTCCACCAGTGTAGTTTCCCTGGGGAAGCCCCTTCTTTGGTGCATCAGGTTTATTTCTGGGCTATGGAGAAGGAGAGGTGAGGTAGAGGTCAGCTGTTAAGATAGAGGCTGGAGTATGGGGACTTAGAGGGCCCAGGAAAAGCACTGGGGAGAGGGGCATTTGCAGGGAGCAGGTGAGGGAGGGGCTAGTGTATGTTCCATAACTGAGGATGTCTGGCAAAGTTCCTGGTTGAATATGTTGGCTCTCAAATGGTCTCATCTTAGCATACCTCAATGATGCCTGCCATGGTCTCACAGTGACCTTCCCAAGGTCTGGGACCAACTGGGAGGGCCCAGTTGGGTCTGAAAGCTCCACTTATTGTTCTCACCATGCCCACCTTAAACTAAGGCCATTTAGATGCCCAAACCTCTCTCTGGGCTAGTGTCCACAACACGTAGTCATCCATTCCAGCCACCTAGATTGAGGACTTGCTCTTAGCTCATCACATTTTGGGGACACATGAGAAGGAGGGATGAATAAAGCTGGAGAGGGTGGCACATCTTCCAAAGGTCACAGCGAGAAGACAACTTTGTGCAAAGATGAGTGGGGAATCTTGGGGCGCCTGAGTGGCTCAGTCAAGTGAGTGTCTGACTCTTGATTTTGGCTCAGGTCATGATCCCAGGGTCATGGTATTGAGACCCATGTTGGGCTCTGCACTGAGTGTAGAGCCTGCTTGGGATCCTCTCTCTCTCTCTCTCTCTCTCTCTCTCCCTCCCCCCCTCCCTCCCTCCCTCTGCCCCTCTCCCAAGCTCATGCTCTCTCAAAGAGAGAGAGAGAGAGGAAGGAAGGAAGGAAGGAAGGAAGGAAGGAAGGAAGGAAGGAAGGAAGGAAGAAAGAAAAAGAAAGAAAGAAATGTAAAAAGATGAGTGGGGAATCTCTTAACCCTCCAGCCCTGCACACTTAGTTCCTTCCAAGTGTCAATCCTGTTCAGAATTCTTCCATGGCTCGCCACTCCCCTCTGGATCAAGTCCAAACTCCTCAGCCTGGCATCTGAGGACAAAATGCTGACCCTGTCTTCTCAGCACCCTGTGCTGACTTCAGCAAGCAACTTTGGTCAATTGTAGTTGGCTGGTATTGCCTCTGCCCAGATTGAGAGCTGCTCAAGGGCAGTCCTTGTGTTCCCTATGGCCAGCCTCAGCATGGGAGTAGGGAACAGGCACAAAAGAAGACTCAAATAAGCTTGTTGTATGGGATATGTGGCATAGAAAGAACTTTTCTAAACTCTGACTTTCCTCCAAAGCTCCTATTTTCCCTAATGTGGAACAAAAGGGGTTGGGCTGGGCCCTGCCGGGCTAAGCTGTACCATCCCATGGCTCAGAGGCCATGGGAGAGCCTTCAGCAGTGGGGTTCAGGTCCAGGCCTATGGCAGCTGATGAAAGTAATGGCTTTTCTTAAGTCTCAGGCCTGGCCGGAATTCACAGAGGAGGAAGAAGGGGGTGAATAGCAATCCCCGTAGTCCTTGTCCACCAGTCAGGAGTCCCATTGCACTGGTCCCCTGGCCTCCTGGTTCACAGGGCCCTCAGAAGGCTGGAGGCAGGTCAGATGACCTCTTACCATCTAAAAGAGCTTTTGAGCTGGAATGAGGAAGAACTGGCCTGAGGAAGAGCTGATAGGGAGGCCTTGGCTGAGGAAAAGGAGTGGAGAGAGTTCAGGTATTGGTGTGTGTGAGTGGGGTAGACCTCTGTCCCACCTTGCAGAGCTCTAAGCCATTGCTGCTTTTCTTACAAAGATGGTGACACTTTTCCTACAGTCAGTGCCTACTGATGCTCTAGCCCTTATCAATCTAGGTTAGAGTTCTGTTTTCTCCAGCCCATAAGCCTTCCCAGGAAATGACCCCTTCTAAGTGTTCTCCAGGTGCACAGTGGCTGGGAACACAGATGAGTAAAACAGACACACAGATGGATGCTTTGGTGAATTGTTCAAACCATCTCCAGCTTCTGTGGTCCCTTCCTGGTGGTAGGGCTGATAGGTCCAGGGTCTCCCTCTTGCATTCTCTGTGGCCTGGCTAGCTGGGTCCCTTGTTTGGAGGGCAGAGGGGCTAGGTAAAGATCCATTTTCTCAATCCAGATAATAACCTGGAAAGTATGTTGGGGGGAGGTCGGGGGTGGTGATGGACAACACATCCTGAAATTGCTCATTAGGAGGGTACCACCCACACAATGCCATTGGCTCCCTCTCCTTGACCTGTTATTTTCTTCTGCCCCTAATTTCACCCTCCCCCAGTACAACTCAGTAATTCATCCAAAATTCTGAATATGTTAAGTTCCTTGCTCTAAATCCTTCTATGGCTCCCTGCTTCCCTCAGGATAAAATCTAGGTACTTTGTAGTGGCCTGCAGCACTCTGCCCATTCATCTGGCCTTATCTTTGGCTTCTGCTCACTGCAGGTACTTTCTGATTTCTAAGTTTTTGGCAATCTGTTTTCTGCCTGGAACCATCTTCCTCACTTCTTGGCCATCTTTCCAATTCCTACTTAGTCCTGTGGAGGCCCTGTAACCCCAGTGGAATTATGAACCTTCTTGGAGATCCTGGCACAAGCCTAATCGCTTCACACAGTGATTATAGATTTGCTGTCCTCTCCCGCTCTCCTGAAGGGAGACTAATTTATCTCTGCTTTCCTAGGTTCAGCACAGGTATGGGTACAGAGCATTCAGCAGGAAAAGTTTTCTGCCCAATCCAAGATGAACATTTTATCTGCTCTGGACATTACCTGTCCTCCTGACTTGAGGCCTAGTTAGGCCTTCCCTAGGGCTCCCTGGTAGCTCAGGTATCGGTCCATATATTGAAACCTTTCTGCAAAGCACTCCACTTTGCCCTCTTCTCCTTTTTGTGGGAGAGCTCCTGGGCCTTTGCACCTGCACCCAAGGCCGAGACCTAGTGCCCTGAGTTCCTACGCAACATGCTTCTATTGATACTGTGCCCTTTGGAGCCTAGAGCTAGGGAAGTAGGTCACCGCTCCTTCTCCCAATTCTCGAGCTCCCAGTCCACCCTGCCTCTTGGAGTCCTAAGTAAACAATCCAGGCTCAGCGTCCCCTGGCACAGCTTCCACCCCAGGCCCAGGAGGAGGCGTCTTGGGTCTCAAGGGAAGACAGTCTCGCTGGGGAGGAACCGAGAGCGAAAAACAGTTCTTCAGACAGTGTCACTTCCTCTCCACTAACAAACCACTCATTTTGGGTATCGGGCCCTCCTTTCACGGATGTGCACCGGGATGCTGAGGTCTCCGAGCCCGTGAGTGGTGCGAGATCACGACGGGCTTTCTGGTTCAGTCGGCTTACAGCAACGGGCAGACTTTGCCCATGGGGCTCTGCCGAGTCCTCTAACGCGCTGGCTGTCCTCCAGGGAGTAGTTGCTCGCTAGCCGACGCGGACAAAGGCGCCGCTACCGGGAGCGGGCCCCGCCCCGAAGGGGTGGATCTGCATCGTTGAGGAGCAGAGACTCCGGACTCCTCGCGTAGCGCAGGTCTCCTCGGACTCCGCCCCAACCGAGCTGGAAGCTCAGCGGGCCTCACCCCAGGCTCCGCCATTAGGGTTGGGGTGGCAGGATGAGATTGTGAGTGGCGTTCACGTAATACCCCTCCGGGGCCCTGACACATTCCCCAAACCCAGCCATTAGAGTAACATTTCAGCCGCCCTTCACCGAAGCC